TCAGAACTCTTTGAAGACAACACAGTGTTGGCTAAAACGTCGCTACTTACACTTAAATTAATGATGTGTTGACTTGCTTCTTATCAAATATACACCGAAATCTTCGTGCCTGAATGAAGAAAAAGAATGCTATTTGGATCATTCACAGCGTTCATGGTATAGACAACGTATGCAATTTATCAAGTTTATTGACCTGTGCGTGACCTAAGCCGTGACGCTTAACATGTTCAGGTAAACAAAGAACCGCCTCAAATTCTTTTATTTCTGCCTTAAAAACCTTATATGAAAGAACAATATAAAAATCCGTCGAGGAAACTATCATCACATTGTTTAAGGTTGCTTTACTAAAACTATATGCAACTGTGTTTTGACAGCTGTTAAATTTGACCACTTGCGGCCCATCTCTAATCGCTTTTCCCACGGAAATTCTCAGTCGTGTTTCCAGTGCACTTTCCCTTGCGGATTTTCAGTGTGGAACCAAAGATTTTTAATAAGAGTTTGAAGAAGTGAGCAAAAAGCTGAAAAAGGCTTAACTTAAGTGTTCAGATTTTTTGGTTACCCAATTTGGGTTACGGGTTAGGTCACGTACGCAAAATGGTCACGCGAAGGATGAACTACGAGGATTTTCAAATGTTTTCTACCTTTTTGGTAGTTATATATGTCACCAAACCTAACATACTTCTCTTTTACTAAGTTTAAGTTTTAATAATACGTTGAAATATATTTTCGGATATGTAGTATTAACTCAACAGATCATTTCTTCAAGTATAAGAAGCGATGTAATTCCGAATGTTTCGGAATATTTTTAAGTTTGTAAACCGCTTCAGTCGCGTTAAGAGACATACTGGCACTTAAAGCGTGATTAAGAAAGATTAAAAGCGACTTTACTTAACATTCACAGCTTCACAGAGGAAACATGACGATGCTGACTACTTTCAATGGTCTTTTATTTTTTTCTGTGTATTTTCCAAAAACTGACGCTATAATTAGCTTGAAATGAACATCGAATTCTCCACACTCACATGCGTCTGAGTGGCATCACGTTTTATTTAACTGCCGAGACAAGACTTAATTTCCAAAGGCTAAACTTTCCAGGTGTATATTTTGATAAATGAGCTTTCATCTGGTATGGTTATAATGTCGAGGTTTTAGGTACCAGGTGTCGTTTAAAACGGTCAAAGTTAGTCTTCATTTTGTCTCCCAAAATATCGTGCAAAATGCACCTCTATAAAAACGGCCATAAAAATCATACCAAAGAGAACTACAGAAAAAATTTTATATGTTTTCACTTTGCGGGGATATTGTAATTATTGTGCAAATTTTGATGGTGAATAGACTTTCTTAGCACTGCCAACATCTTCCTGAAGTTGCGTGACGATTTGACCTTTTAGGCAAGGCGAAAACGGCTTTCTTAACGAATTTTCAAACTTTTTAAATTTTCAGCCGGAAAAAAAAACCGCTGGAACTTTAAAATACTTTTTTCGAAACAAGTTCACAGAAAGGGGTGTTTTGGCAAAATAAAAAAAAAATTGATTTTTCGTCACTGATTTTCGATTCTCGAAATATTCTGGCGGCCTCTCTTAAAAAGCTTAACATTCTATATCCTTTTGCAAATATGTGATCGATATGATTGTTCCACTTTAAGTCATTAGATACAACGACCCCTAGATCTTTTAGAGTTGATACGTGATTAAGAGATTTCGAGTCTAAATTATAGTAATAATTAATACGTTCCTTTTTCCGAGAAACTGTCAATATTTCGCATTTTGAGCTGTTAAAACGAAGCTGCCATGCCTGGCTCCAGTAATTAAGACTATTAAGGTCATCTTGGAGAGCAGCACAATCAGATTCTTCCTTGATGACTCCAGTGCATTTTGAATCATCAGCAAATAAAGCAGCACGACTGTCAATAACAGCAGGTAGATCGTTCACATACACTAGGAATAAAAGCAGGCCTAGGATACTACCTTGAGGCACCCCGGACGTTACCGTGTAGACTGCTGGAAGTATATCCATGAACAAGACATCGTTGACTGCAGTTATTAAGGTAACTATCGAACCAGGTGAGCAGTGGACCGCATATACCATATTGGACAAGTTTAATTAGAAGCCGCTGATGCGATACGCTATCAAAGGCTTTAGCCAAAATCCCAGAATGTAATATCCGTGACCGCAAGGCATTGTCCAGATTTTGGCCGATGTCATGATAACATGTCAATAATTGTGTAACTGTAGAGCGTCCCTTGAGACAACCATGTTGTAAATCGTCAAAGAGAGCACAGAGGTGGTTATTAACGGAGTTGAATATACAACGCTCCAATACTTTTGAGATGACGCAAAGAAGAGAAATTGGACGATAATTGGAAACATCATCTCTCTTTCCTTTTCTATGGACTGGAACAGCTAAAGAGTTTTTCCATTCAACAGGGAGTTCAACAGTTACGATTGATAAGTTAAAAAAGATGACAAATAGACGGGGCTAGTTCCAAAGCAAAAAGGACGTACGTCGGAAGACCATCGGGGCCTGGAGCTTTATGAGGGTCCAGCTCTGTAAGAACATCGAAAATCATTTTCTCGGTTAGGTAAACATTATCCAGGAGAGGCACATTCATTCTAGGAGCTGGTAGATCAAGTTGAGAGACAAATTCCCCAAGATATAGTCTCATTTATATAGTCTCATTTATATAATCTCATTTAATTTCTAGTGTTTTTTGTAATTTCTTGTAAATATGAAGTATTTCATTTTAGTGCCGAATTCATATCTAATAAACAATTACCATTACCAAGAGATTTATTATACTTCTTGACTTTCTTATTTATTAAAGTTTTTGACGCTCTACTCAATTCTCTGAATTTATCGCGGTGGTGTTTACTGTTGAGTCTTTTAGCTGCACGTCTAGATGTTTCTTTTTTCTTCAACGGATGTAGAACTTCTTTATCAATCCAAAGAAGAGCGTTTGCATTTTTTAACCTAGGGTATATGAGAGTCGATGATGTCCAGTACTGCGGATTTCCAGTTCAACCGGCAATTGTTCCCATCGGAACCACCGAGGCTTTCAGTAATTCTGCTGCTTTGCTTGAGATCATTTTTCATTAATTCAAGGTCGGCTCCTTTAAATTTATAAACATAACGTTCGGGTTTCTCGGATACAGCGATGGTGACCAAGAATATCGAATTCAACGAGATGGTGATCCGTGGAGAGACCAGCTTCATCAGAACTAATTGTGTCTATGTCTTTTATACATTGAGGAGTATCAGTGATAACAATGTCCAATACATTATTTCTTTGAGCAGGGAAATGGGTGGGAAACGTATTTAATTGGAGAAAACAGTGATCTACAAGAGCTTCGCAAAACATAGCTTCAATAGAATTCTGGGATTTGACAAAACCGCAGTTTTCAATCCATTTGATGCCAGGGAAATTAAAGTCACCCATGATTATAGTGTGGCTTTTTGTTATACGTGTGCAGTTTCTCAGGAAATTAATTATAAATTCCAAGGAAAGTCTAACGGAAAATCAATTTTCCCGGGAGCCAAATCTTTACAATTTTCCTTTTGAAAAAGAAAATCAAAAGAACGTGTGCCTTAAAAACAAGATAGAAAAAAAAATTGAGAAATTATTTTTATGTTTTTTACGTCGAAATATGTTTTGCATCTCATTATCAATTGTGTTACACGCAAAATTTTCTTTCGGTTTGTACGTTTAGTATATTCCATTTAGATTTCGTGGTTGATACATAGCGTGAAATGTACTCAACACAAGTCTTATTTTACAGCTATTTATAAGTATGACTATGCTGATAAGTTATGATTAAGAAGTGCGTGGTCCAATTTTCCTTATACTGTGCCAGTATTTAGGGGAAAATTTGGTCAACCTCTTGGTTTATAAAGCTCGCCCCCAAAACTTAAAATCAATATTCATTTGACGCCATCATTCACCAGTAAAGTAAGCGATTGTTTCGGTTTAATATAAAATTCAGCAAGACATTCGTTCGCCAGATGTGCCGCGCAAACAAATTGTAACAATAAGGTGACTTTCGACAGTTGCACGTATCAAGGAATTTTAATGTGTCAATATTATGCTACTGTTGAAAATTATTTTATTAGTCTACATTTTGTTTTTATTGCCGAATGTCACGAGCAAAACATGATACGAAAGTGACTCTCGATGACACGTAAACTTCCTGATTCGAGAAAATTCTTATGATTATTAAAGATAAGAATTGGCTATCTTGCCGAAAGAAACGAAAGAACTAAAAAAAGATTTATGGAGAAATTTAGAAATCACACATCTTTCTTATAATCAGATCCAAGCTGACAATGATTTCTGACTTTTATAATTGTCATAATAATTCGATACTTTTTTCTTTCCTTTATTTACGATTCAGAGTGTTTTATCCATTTTTTTTTTTTATTATTATAATTTCTGAGACAATCAGATGACAAACTCCTTCTTTTTCAATTTTTACGAGTTTCATACTGCGGTTCGCGAAACGCCGTTGCAGATCTTTTCTTAAACCAATCAGCTCTTGGAGTGGATAATGGAACCACACCAAGACCTTATTTTCCTTAAGTTAACTTGTTAGCAGATTGTTCAGCGGTTTCCGGGGGAGGCGTGTCTTTGCACGCCATAGTTTTTTATTACATTATGACTAATTTTCCGCGTGCGAATACGATGCTGGATTATTTCCTATCCTAGTCATATTCACTAAGTTCAAGCCAGCATTTTTATTAGAAAAAAGGGAATGAAATTAAATGTAGATGATTCCCTTATTAATAAGACAATTAAGATAATAGCGAAAGTGCCGATTGATTCGAGACTTGATAACAAAGAGGATTACAAAGGATATATATAAACTGAAAACATAAATACGCATTGTTTTAATTGGCGTGTTTTTGGATCATGGTGTCATCTGCCACATTTCCTGCTTACGGTTTCGCCTCTGCTCTGAGGTTGGCGCCAACGAATCCTCAGAAATGATAAAGAAAAAGCGGGGGAAAATATTTCTATAAATGGTAAACTTGAGTACCTTGAAATACCGACCAGTTCATGCTATTAAGAAGACCGCCGCGAAATAGCGCGACCGCTGAATTATTGATGTAGGTTTTTCTGTCTTGTTTTGAAATCATACCGGTTTTAGTTTCCTTGTTAGTAGAAAACATTGATTAACCCTTCACCTATTGTTTACGAAATTTAGATGGGCGATATCACGACTGCAGTGAATTTAAAAAAGATTTGTTCTGAGTGGCATACCGAATCCAGCAGTGCTTTTAATTCTAAAAGCAACAAAAGGACACTTTTAAAAATTAATCGGCCAAGCGCATCTGTTACGGAATTTGGAGATTTGTTTACATGAGACGTTTTTCTTGATTAGCTCGCTAATACAGGCAATATAAGGTCAAGCTGCTGTAATGGATAAATATTTTTAACGTCGATTGGAAAAATATGGCAAAACACTCAGCCTTTAGTGATATCTATCGAATCCGTACTATGTTTGTCCTGGATATGAAGAGCTACATTCTCAACCATGCCGAATGCAACGAGAACAAGAAAGGGTTTAGTTATACCTAAACGAAAGAAGAAGACATTATTGCGATGACGGAGAACGGTCGAAGAATTACTCTAAACGTGCAAGGATGCCGTTACGAGACATTCCAAGAAACATTGGAAGAATTTCCTGAGACTCTTCTCGGTTCACCAGAGAAACGGAAGAGATTTTATGATCCACTGCGCGATGAATACTATTTCGAAAGAGACAAATGTGCCTTCGACGCAATTTTATTCTACTACCAATCCAGAGGAATCCTTTCGCGACCTCCAACGATCCCAGCAAATGCGTTCGACGAGGAGCTGAGATTTTACGAGATCGAAACAGCGAAACCTGCTGAGCGAGAAGAAAAAGTGATTTATATGCCTGAGCGAGACTGGCAAAGAAAATTGTGGGAATTGTTGGAATATCCTGAATCATCAAAGCAGGCTGCGCTGTTCTCCAAACTATCAATGGCAGTTATTATACTCTCTGTAGTAGTGTTCTGTGTGGAGACCTTGTATAGCAACAATGCCACAGTGCGGGCGGTGAGATCCTTGTCCATCCACAATAACACCAAAAATGAGAGTAGTGTCAGCCAAGGGGAGGGCAGAAACCTGAAAAGACCACGAGTTTGGTTTGTGATTGACACTTGTATCATAATTTGGTTCAGTTCCGAGTACGCCGCCCGTCTGGTTTCTTCTCCAGAGAAAATCAAATTTATTTTGTCCACGCTGGCGTTAATTGATCTGGCTGCCATAATTCCGTATTTTCTTGCACTTTTGTTGGGTAACACGTATGCGCCTGCATTTTCGTTCACAGTTATGCGGATATTTCGTCTGTTACGAGTGGTGCGACTGCTTAAACTCACGCGTTATGTGGCCGCTCTTAGAATTCTGGGGTATACTGTCCGTTCTTGCCAAGAACAGCTTACCGCGTTATTTTTCCTCATATCTATCTCAGTGATATTGTTCTCCAGTACTATTTTCTACATCGAAAATAAGGAAAATTCTGAGGACTTCTGCAGCATTCCTGCCTCGTTTTGGTGGACTATCATCACCATGACGACAGTTGGATACGGAGACGTGACACCTATGACTCCTTTAGGAAAAATAATGGGCGCTTTGTGTGCAATTTTTGGAGTCGTTGTCATGGTATGTCTTCCAAGCCCTGTCTTCATTTCAAGTTTCAATGAAATCTACATGCAGCACATCGGGGAGATGAAGAAAAATCAGCAAAAGTCTTTAACTGGCGTTAAAAGACATTTGAAAACTACTCTAATCCCTTCAAATGTATTTCTGATTAAAAAGTTCATCATCGGGAAGGATGATAAAACGTAACACGCAGATGTGATAGACAATAGTTTAGGTCTGGAGGGGACCAGTCATTATTTATTGCCTGTCGGGGGATCCAAGGATTTTTATTATTATTTATTTTTTTTTGGCGRCGGGGGGAGTCAGTCGTCGTTAAAAGATTATATACAGGGGGAGGGATGGGGAGAACTGAAATGGACTACCAAAGAGGGGAAATTAGAGAGTATAAAGCCTAAAGGGGGGTACAGATAAATTCTATTGTGACACAACCAAAATCCTCTGAACGTCCCCCACCCATTCCTTCAGCCATAAATAATAACCTGCCCTAAGGAAGGAGATCGCACTAGGAGAGTAACTTTTAGAATACACTTATCTGTTTTCAAGCTATTTTTAGATCTCCACCACATGAGGTTTGCAGAAGCGATGTTTAAATCGGCAAACTAGTGTCGTAAAGTGTCTGCATGAGAATATTGCATGTGGCTCGTTTTGACGCAAAAGCTGGAAAAATTCCCCGCAAATTAACTTGATCTAAAAGAAGGGATCTCGTTTCGATCATGATCTTAGACTCCTCTCATAGCATAACTTTAAAGTGAAGAGTAAGTCATGCTGTTTACAGTAACCAATGACATGTTCAGCTCCAAAAGAACAGTCAGTATTTTCTTTACTATGTAACATTGTATTGAATATTTCATATCGGTATCTAATACATGGCAAATATGGAGCATTTATGGGATGTGGATGAAACGATGCGATAAATGGTAGTTAGCAGTTGGTGGCTTTCAATTTCTTTGAAATGTTGCTGAAGGACAGAGCTGACTGAAAATTTGCTACGACGTTCCCAACACTTGGCTTCATACCTCATTTTCTAGTAATGACTAACTAGTATATAGAAGGCACGGGTTCCGATCTTGTAGAGGTTTAGAGTTTTCTAATATTCTTTTAATCTTAGTTTAAGGCTTTATTCGAACTTCAAGATGGATATTTGTACCGAACATTTACAATCTCATAGTCTTATCACAACCACACAAAAGTGTATTGTTCTTGTTCTGACATATTTCTACATGGAAACCAGATCTATCATATTACGCTTTGCCATGCTGACGAGTCCATCCAAGGGAACTTGAAGGCTGTTCACTGCCTGATAACTTACGACCTGCTCAAATAACCTACCATTTTCCATATCATAAATACGCTCAGTAACATGATATGTCTACGTTGCAGTTAATACTTAAAACCGTTAACGGATTTCTGCCGGTTTAACGATAGAGAGAGGGTACTTCAATTTTCACACTATTTTCAAATGCATCATAGAATAGTTAGAAGCAATATCCTTGTGCTTAGAACTCCTGCTTGTTAAAATGCCTGCTCTGATAGAGTTGTTATACATCGTGCAAGTATTGCGACTGGAGCAGTTCTCTATTGATGTCAAAAGTATTCTAAACTTCCAATAATTTTGCGTTACTTCTCCATGTGGGTGGTCGAGAAAACTCACGCCACTCTCTCCCCAATCAGATGCAAGACCGAAACGCTTTTACTCACGCTTTAGTCACTTTGGTAGTTTTAGCTTTGAATTGTCGTTGGCTCTTAAAGGTATTTCCCTCCCTTCTGACTGATCCTTGTGGATACTTGAGTTTTGGTCTTACGACACTCAGTAGAAATGCACTCCATGATGAGTGAGTTGCGAAAGACAATTTGTCAACTGATATGCATGACTGTGCCGAATATCTTAGCCATCATGGCAATTGATATTATAACATAACCAAAGTAAAGCACGCGCTCTGATTGGTCAATTTAGCGTCCCCCATTTGCCCATGGGTGTACGCTGCTGACGTGAGCAAATGCAAAGACTATTTTTCCGTGCGCGCTTGTTTTTTCTGGTCACGCAAGATTTGTTAAATAAAAGGGAACTCTTTAGCTACAATGTATCAATGTTATGTTATAAAACAAATGGTAAACACCACAGCGTACACTATTGAGTTATGGATGCACTTGGGAGGTTTGCTAAGCACTCAAGAAGCTAGAGTCGCTCTCGGCTATCGCCTCGAGCGACTCTTACGCTTCTTTCGTGCTTAGCAACCTCCCGCGTGCATCCATAACTCAATAGTGTACGCTATGGTGTTTACCATTTGTTTTATAACATAACATTGATACATTGTAGCTAAAGAGTTCCCTTTTATTTAACAAATCTT